AATTGAGACCATTAACATTGATGATTATAACTTATGTATATTGGCTTATCCTTTTTATATTATTTTCCTATTGTTGGCTCCCTTCCTTTTCCCCCATTTCCTTGCCTTACCTTGTGGATTCCTTCTGTTGAGGTTTATGGATTTGTAGTCCTTGCTGTGTCTTTCTAGAATGTCCTCAAAACATTTTAGAGTCCTGGTTTGTTTGTCATAAATTTCTTCAGATGTTTTTTGTCATTTCATTTCTCCAACAGTTTTGAAAGATAGTTTTTCAGGGTACATCAGTCCAGCTGAGTTGAATGTTCTTTTCCTTTAGAACTTGAAATACTTCACTCCATGTTCTCCCTGACCTGATGGTTTGTGCTGAGAATTCAGCTGTGATTTTGCTGGGCTTTCCTTTATAGGTGATTTGTTTCTTTTCCCTATCTTTTAAGATTCTATTCTTATACTGATTTTTCAGACTCTTGACTATGGTATGCCTGGCTGTAGATTTTTTTTTTTTTTTTTCCGGAACTGGGGATTGAACTCAGGCCCTTGTGCTTGCCAGGCAAGCGCTTATTCTACTGAGCTATCTCCCCAGCTCCATGGCTGTAGATTTTTTGATCATGGCTAATTGGAGTTTATATGCCTAACTTATCTGTATGTCAAATTCTTTTTCCTTGCTAGGGCAGTTTTCTACCATGATGTCTGTGAACAGTTTTTTTTTTTCTTTTTTTAAAAATATTATTTGTGCTATCTATGGATTTTTCATGGGCTCCAGTCAATCTTAACTTATTCTTCTTAGTCCCATCTAGCAGCTGGTAGATTGATTTCTCATGGTTCCTTGCTATTTTTAAGGAATCTTTCTTTTCATGATTGCTAGCAACAAGCCTGTCTTCTGTATCTGAGATCCTGTCCTCACATTGGCCTAATCTGCTGCAGACACTTTCACTGGAATTTTTATTCTCCTGGATATCTGCTTGAATCTGGCTTATGGATTCCACTTCTTTCCTATGCTGAGCATTCATGAATTCCATAATTTTCTTTCTTTCTGTGTGTGTATATGTGTGTGTGTGTGTGTGTGTGTGTGTGTGTGCAGTCTCATTATGCAGCTTGAATTCATAGTGATCCTCCTGTTTTCAGCCTCCTTAGTGCTGGGATTATAAGCATGTGCCACCAGGTCTGGATTCCATCGTTGGCTCAGCACACCTTGGGCCGTGGCCGGTGCAGCGTGTGGTGCCAGAGATTATACCCTGGCCCTTGCACATGCCTAAGCAAGTGCTTAGCCCATAATTTTCTTAAGCTCGTCTATTTTTTTTTATTGGCATCTTCTCTAGAGTCATTAAGTATGGTTTTTATTGTGAACACCATCTCTGTAGTTATCTGAGAAATTATTTCTGATTTGATTTTTTTTTTCTAAAGCCTCATTCAATTGCTTTGTTTTTACTACTTAAGAGAGGCTAGGTGGCTTTCAAATTGTCCCCCTTATTGCGCCCTGCATTTGCTTTTGGTGAACTTGATGTCTGGGGTTGCATCTTGTTTAAATGTCTTCTCATCTTTCTCTTTCTTTCTTTCTTTCTTTCTTTCTTTCTTTCTTTCTTTCTTTCTTTCTTTCTTTTGCTCTCTCTCTTTCCTTCTTTATTTCTTTTGTTATTTTGTTTTCTTGCTTGCTTGCTTTTGTTCTTTCATTTTTTTGTCTGTGTGTCTGTCTGTCTTTCTAGTTTAATTCCCAGGGCAATGATTGTAAATTGCCTACGGTGGGTTGCTTTATTGCTAGTATTTAGAACCCTTGGGAAGAGACTACTTCTCTGAGGTATCTTCCAGGTGTAGCTGTTTTTTGGGTTTTGAATTTGTTGTAAAATTGCACCTCTTCAATTTGTTGGAGATGAGAAGTTGCTGCCAGTTTGGCTCAGCCTCTTGTTGTTTGACACTGTAACACAGTATTTTCTATGATCCTTAGTCAATCTCAGTCTTGAGATGCTAGGAAGAACAGATGACAGAACAATTATGTCACTTTTGGCTATAGTGGTACTGTCAGTAATGACAGTAGCATCATACAGCCTAGAAAATGACAAACCAAGCTAACCATTAATTTGCCACTATTAACTGTTTGAACTAGATTTGCGATTATATAACAAAATCTAAAACAAACCAGAAAATTATATGCAGTACATAAGTCCTTAATATGTCAATTTTGCCCTCAAGGGAAAATTATTAGTGGCATCTGAAGGTAGCACTGTCTTGGACAGACTATTTTTCCCAAAATGTTCACACTATCAAGACTAACTAGATGGCACTTTCTTATATTTAATCACACTCTTTGCTACATGACATGACCACAGACAATGTGGTTATTGTTGCTTTTCTTGACAAAGTATCCTTTATGTGAACAGATTGCATCAGCATGTGATTTTACTCTGGGAGGTTCTGTAAAGAACTAGGGCCATACTGTTCCTCTTTCATTGTCTGCAGAACATTTCTCCCACTCTGCCACAGTGTTTAGCAAGGAAAACACTGGATAGAAGAGATTTTTGCAGCTTCTCTAGCAAAGTAATCGAACAGAATCACAGCTGCCACAGAACTATGTCTAATTACCATTTCAAGGAAATTTAATGACTAGCAGTCAAACCTCCATTTGGTAGCTCCACACATACTTCCAACCAAAGAAGAGCATAAATAAAGAAAGACGCTGTGAGATCCAGAAGATGGGTTTTCTAGTACAGGAGGAAGTCAGAGAGAGCAGGGGCAAGGGGTTGTTAACGTTGAGTGTCACTGTGATGTTGTCATGCTGTGGGCTGGTGTCACATACTGGTGCCTTTTGTCTCTACGTGGGCTGTTAGATTTCCAGAGAAATCTTTCAGACTATTGTATGAAATAATTTCTGGGGGGCATAACGGGGAGGAGATCTGAGAGTCTCGTGCAACAGCAAGCAGAAACAGGATTTGAAGGCAGATTTATATTATGTGGACAGGCACTGATTAGGATCATTCCCAAAATATCAGGCCCTGATCTCTGGTGGTCTAGGGCTGATATGGAATAAGCAGGCAGGTTCTTACAATATGTATCACAGTAACCAGATGTTTCTAAGAAACTAATAGGAACTATAACCAGAACTATTAAAAACAAGTATACTGGCTGGGCGGGGGTGGGGTGGGAGTGGGAGTGGGGGTGGGGATGTGGGGGTTGCTGGAGGGAGGTAGGGTGGGGTGAGGGGGAATTTTCTGCTACACTCACGCTTACTCTGTTCACAGTCTCTCAATTCCTTGTTTGTGGTATGATAGCCTCGTGTGTGCTTCTAGATTTCTGTGCCCCCAAATGTTGTTTTATCATCTCTAGCTCTCCAGAGAATGAACTTTCAGCTTTCTGGGGGGTAAGGGAAGAAGTCCACGGACCTGCCCAAAGCTTTGTCTCCTGACTCAATTCTGGGTCCCTGGGACTATCAATATGTAAACCTTTTATACAATCCCTTTAGAGGTTTCTGTTGTTTAATTAGAACAAACAAACAGGGGGCCAGGGAGATGGCTCAGTAGAATAAGCACTTGCCTTATTCCCTTGGCAAGTGCAAGGGCCTGAGTTCAATCCCTGGTTCCACCAAAAAAAAAAAAAAAAAAAAAAAAACAAGAACAAACAAACAAAAAGGCCAGCCAAATAGCTCAGTGGATTAAAGCACCTGCAAACAGGCCCACTGCCCTGGGGATTTCATCCCCAGGCCTGCTATGCAGGCCCTGCCCCCAGGACTCATTGAGCCGGCAATTGAGACTGAGTGTGATGTTGTGCACCTGTAATCTCAGCTCTTGGGAAGCTGTAAACAGACAGATCACTATGAGTCTGATCTAGTAGTGAGACCTTGAACACTCTGTACACCCTTCCCTAAAATACAAACAAACAAAAATAGAGTTGGTCCTGAGCTTTTCCTTTGAATGCCTTAGGATTCTGTGTCCTTGAGAAATTACAAACAAATAATGTTTTGTTTTGTTTTGTTTTGTTTTTTTGTGGTACTGGGGATTGAACCCTAGGCCTTGTATGTGCTAGGCAAGTGCTTGCCACTAAGCTACACTTGCAACCCCAACAAATGTCTTCAATTTAGTTAGGCTTTAGGAGGGAGTGAAATTTGACATAAGTTCAATTTCTACCTTAAAATTTACTCCTACTTTTGCAATTCTTTTTTTTTTTTTTTTCTACAAGCAATAGAAGTAAGGTATTGCAACCTAATAACTTGAAATGTAATGTCACTACTGTTGGGCCGGGGAGATGCCTCAGTAGAATAAGCGCTTGCCTGGTAAGTGCAAGGGCCTGAGTTCAATCCCTGGTTCCGCCAAAGGAAAAAAAAAATCACTACTGTTAAAAGTTGAGTCAGGGGCTGGAGAGATGGCTCAGTGGTCTAAAGCACCTACTTAGAACAAGCTTAGCAGAGGGACCACGGTTCAATTCCCCAGCACCACATGCCAGCCAGCCCCGCCCCCTGGTGGGCTAAGCTGGTCACACACACACACACACACACACACACATAAATAAATACAATTTTTTTTTAAAAAAAAGGTTGAGTCATTTACTTGATACAAAGACGACTTTCACAGCTGGCAGGACTGAGCCCTGAGGATAATGTGGTGAGACCTTTGCTCTCATGGACATCATGTTATTTTTGAATTCTAAATAATTTCTCCCTGACTTCACACTTATCTCCAGAGCTCCTGATTCGTCAGCTAGGAATTTGACCATCCTGGCATAATCTCTGTCCTTTCCACAGTAACCCTCTGAGGATTTAAATGCTTTAAATAGGTACAGGGTGAATTGAGTTTCCTATTTTTGGGTTCATTTAAATTCCAGGCCAGCTGGCTCCATTGACTCATTCCTTCCCTATTGAGCCCTTTCCTCCACTCTTTTCTGCCAATAACTGTTGACTTTTGAGTTTGGCCAGAGGAGGCCAAGAGGCATGTGAGACTCCCTGTGCTGAATGGGACTGCTAAATGACAGCCTGTTCTCAGGTTCCTGACACAGAGACTAACTCTCCCTTTCTCTTGCAGGTCAGAGATGTTGTCATGGCGGCAGGCATTGCAGGAGTGGGCTTGGCAGCCATGGGCCTCATTGGAGTCATGTTCTCAAGAAACAAGAAGCAAAAGCAATAAGCTGAAAGGACTGTTCTGTCAGGAGTGACTATACCTTAAGAAGTGGTCTTGTTTGGCTAGAGTTTGGGGTTTGGCTTATGGATTTCATTCATTCTTGTTTTATAATTAGGTTTATTTTTACGGAATAAAATAAAGCACAAGAAGAGAGGATTTTCTTGGGGAAATGCAGCACAGATTGTCTTGTGTGAAGTCTGTGGAGGGAATAGCTGGGCTCAGTCCTGGTGAGGCCCCTTGGTGATTTTCTTTTTCTCTTTACATGTTGTGTTCTTTGTATCACAGCAAAGAGTCCAACTCCAATGATCTCAATGGTAGGGTGGGGCTGGGGATATAGTTCAGTGGCATAGTGCTAGCCTGGCAAGTGCAAGGCCCTGAATGCGATTCCCAGTACAAAAAAGAAAAAGAAAATTGGCCTTCTTAATGGTAGGGTATTTCAGGTTGTCAGAATACATGTGGAACAGCAAGACAGTCCTGCTAGACACAGACAGAAACTATCAGCCAGCCAACGCTGTTGGCCTGGAACTTGATATCCAAGACTCAGAAGCTGGAGTCCATAGATGTTCACTGAAGTGAAAAAAAATCCTTTGCTATAAGAAATTCATTATGTGGTCTCACCAATCTTCCTAAAACCCCCTTGTTTCCCTGTGTTTTCCACCTTTTCCCTCTGCACTCTGGCTTCCTCTCCGGTTCTGCTTGGCCCCCACCCCAACTCTCTGATCCCACCTTGCCAGCTGCCCCTTTCTTCCACCTCTCCTCAGGGTCACCTTCACTCTGGAATAGAACAAAAGAATCCTAGGCTGACAGACAGCAATGCTGATAGGTGAATTATGAATCAAAGAAGAAAACATAATAGAATTTAGATAACAAAAATAATAGGTGTCAGTATTTCAACCATGAGGCAAAACAAATGCTCAGAGAAAAATTTGTAACATAAATTCTTACATTAAAGGGAAAAAGGGCAAATTAATGGATTTACCATCCAATTTAAGATACTTCATAAAAAGGAAAAAGTGAAAGGAAGAAAAGAAATTAAAGGAAGAAACAAAAAGATGAGCAAAGTTAAATGAAACAAAACACATGAAAGAGAGGATATACGTGTTAACATTTTATGGGGCCATGTCTACTGATGCTAGGGAGATCAAGCAGGAAATTCTGATAAACACTTCCATGATAAGAGATTGGAGGGGATGGGGAGATGGCTCAGTGGAACAAGCGCTTCCCTGGCAAGTGCAAGGGTTTGAGTTCAA